CACACATTCCTACACTCCTGAAGTTAAAGTCTCATCACATTGCTTTCTTTTATAATGGGACTTGATTTTCTATCATGATGTGGCAAACTTCAGAAATACACAGAAAATTCTGTCTATCAAAGTGGGTAGTTTCCACTCTATTCTGATGAGTTACTGATCCCCAAGGACAAATAAGAAAGCTTTCTACTTAAAGAGAAAAAGTAAGTAAAAGATCGTCCTAACTATACAGATAACAAAAATTTAAGAGCAAGAATCTTGGACAATTAGACAGAAAAATCTCTCCTAAATAACTCTTGGGGCAAAATGGGCTAAAGCATAGTTTACAGACAATAAAACACTCTTATTCAAGACGTAGATGATCTTGAATCAAAGCTATGGTCAGAGGCAAATAAATAGCCTTTAATTTTTAAATTATTGAACAAGAAAAAAAATAAACTCAAATCAATTAAGTATTCAACTTAAGAAATTAGAACTCTAACTTGGTAACCTAAGGGAAGGTCAAAGTTAATTAATTAAAAAACAAAAAAACTATAGATCAATTCAAGGTCTGTTTATTTGATAGAAAAAATAGCAACAACATCAAGTACAGCAAAAGCCTCAAATAAATCTAATTAGTGAAAGAAAGGAAAGAAAAAAAAAACATTAAAAGACAGAATATAAAAACAGATTAATGTAAAAGTCTTGGTAGAATCGATTATTTTGGAAAAATATTAATAATCAATATCAATGTAAATGAGCAGTTCAAGATGTTGAAAGTTGAACATGCTGTTACAGAAGAACCTGGAAACTTTTCAAAGAATTATCTGCAAAAAAGGGAGGGGGAAGGATTCAGAGCTAGATGTTACCAATTCCATGCTATGTGACTTGCCTTAGAAAAGAGAAATAGAGCCGGGCTCGGTGGCTCAGCCTGTAATCCCGTGCCTTTGGGTGACTGAGGTGAGTGGATTGCCTGAGCCCATGGGTTCGAGACCCGCCTGGGCAGTGAGACCTCATCTCTACAATAAATAAAAAAATCAGCCGGGCGTGGTAGAGCATGCCTGTAATTCTGGCTACTTGGAAGGCTGAGGCGGAAGGATCGCCGGAGCCCAGCAGGTCGAGGCTGCAGTGGCCGGGAGCGGCCACTGCACTCCAGTCTGGGCGACAGAGTGAGACTCCAACTCAAAAAAAAAACAAAACAGAAATGTGTAAAAAGATTCCCAAAACATTTTGCAAAAGCTACATGGCCCCGGCGCAGTGGCTCACACCTGTAATTCCAGCACTTTGGGAGGCCGAGGTAGGTAATCGCTTGAGCCTAGGAGTTTGAGACAAGCTGAGGCAACATAATGAGCTCTTGTCTCTACAAAAAATACAATAATAATAATAATAATAATACCTGGGTATAGTGGTATATGCCTGTAGTCCCAGCTATTTGGGTGACTGAGCCAAAAAAAATTCCTGAGTCCTGGAGGTCATGGCTGCAGTGAGCTGGGATCACGCCACTGCACTCCAGCCTGGGTCACAGTAAACAAACAAAGAAGCATGAACCTAATGTCAAAGTCTGACCAAGACAACAACCAATGTATACCCCCCAAAATGGAATTATCTTTAGAGGGCAGGCCCTTTTAGTAGACTTCCCCCTCTAGGTAAGTATTCTAAGAACCCATCAGCATCAGTGTACCAGCTAGCATTGTTGCGAAAGGCTGTATTGCAGAAGAAACATCCTGAGTTGCGGCAAATAGGTGACTGGCTCTTCCACCATGACAATGTAACTGCCCACACCACTCTGAGTGTTCAGCAGTTTTTGACTAAAAGCAGCATGACCCCTGTGATCCACCCTCCCTATTCACCCAATCTCAACCTGAGCAACTTTTTTTTGTTTGTTTCTGAAGATGAAAAAAGTTCTCAAAGGAAAATGTTTTGCCAATGTGGAAGAGGTCAAACAAAAAATGGCAGAAACATTAAAAGGCATCAAAATTGACAAGTTCAAAAACTGATGCAGATATACTGCATCAAATGAAGAGTACTTTGAAAGTGACTGAAGTTTAAACATGTAGGAATAAATACACAATTTTTTATAAATAAATTTCAGGGGATTTTGGGTCTCCCCTTGTACAGGAATAAAAGTGCAAAAATTCTAAATAAAATACTGGCTAATCAAACTCAGTCATATATTTAAAATGGCTATTTTAGTTTTTGAAATCTTCTATAATATATTTCAGACATAAAAAAATTATTTCAACATATGTCAAAACAGCATTTGAAAAGATTCAAAACCTAATGCTAGTTTTTTTTTTGTAAGACTTAGTAAAATTTTTAAAAAAAGAATATTTGCTAAATATAATAGAGAAAGCATCAAATCACCAGCCAAGATCACACTTCATAGTGAACACTGGAAGCATTTCCCTTGGAATAAGAAATAAAATGGAGTTATTCATCATCACTCTGATATAACATTAACTTGCAAGTTAAGTTCCATAAGGAAGAGAAGTCCACTGCAATAAGAAAAGGAAGGAAGATAAGAGTTATTGGAAAAAAGATAAATGTATTATTTTCAGATTATATCATTTTCTATCTGTAAAAACTCAAGAGAATTAATTTAAGCTCTTATAATTAATAAGAGAATCTAGAAAAGGATCAAGAGAAAAAGAAAGAAGACAGGAATAATGGGGAAAGAGAGAAAGAAGAGGGCATAGCAAAGGAGGGAAGAGCAAAAAGAAGCAGAAAATTGTGGGCTCTGCATTGTCAAACACACCAAACTCTACAAGCGAGTCTCACTGCTGAAGGTCTAACTCAGCCATATCAGGTGATCTTCAAGGATCATTTATTGAGTGCATTTTGTGAGCCAAGAATTGTTTCATGTGCTTTTTGTGTCAACGCATTTTTGACTTGCTGAGCTGGGGGTCAGATTCTGTGAATGGAGAATATATCTCCATTCCCAGGTCCCATCATCTCTGCTCATTCACTTGTATTCCTGAAGATTTACTTGTGTAACTGGTGGATGAAAGAGAAATTTGGGTAGAAGGGAAAGAATGAGCAAATTGTTTCTTATCCTTAGATAAGTTTCAGACCAGCAACTGAATTATATATTTCTTGAGACACTTGGTGGGCTCATGGGAGGGGTTATACCCAGAGGAGAAGAAACTAGGAGACTTTTGAAGCTCTGAGCACCGTCTGAGTTATTTCAGGCTCAGGTAAAGTGGCAAGAGTTGGGGAGGAGGCTGTTGTCTTCTCCTTCATGGAACCCAGCATTGCCCTGGTACCCACCAAGAGATGGATATTCTTGGAACATCTACAGGGATAACCTTCAATATGAACATTGGCATTCTTGTGATCAGGAGGGGCTTTCACCCAGGTGACTTTTGGGGGGGATGCAGACTTGGATAACTGAGAGCCAGAGAAGAAAAGTAGAATATAATATGTGGTTATCACTGGAGACAACCTGATTTGGAAAGTCATACAAACCTTGTCCTGTTAGACTTCTGGAAATAAGTGTGGGACACTTCAAGGGCACTGATTTCTAGTACTTCAGCACTGAAGGAAATGGACACACTGGTTTTAAAATTCATATGGCAATGCAAAAGATTAAGAATAGTGAAGACAATCTGAAAGAAAAAGAACAAGTCTGGAAGACTTAGAAACTCCCAAACACCAAGACCTATAAAGCTATATACGCCTAAGAGTATATATAGAGAAGGAGAAGATATTTGCAATACACATATCCAACAAAAACTTGCATCAAAATACATAAAGAATCATAAAAATCATTAAGACAGTGTGGTATTTCCACAACAACAGACAGAATAAATTTAAGGAAAAAAAAAACTCATGTATGAACAGAAAATTAATTTGTGACAAAGAAGACAATGTAAAACCTTTTGCAGATGTTTTTGATAAATAGTGCTTGGCCAGCTGGATAGCCAATGGGGGAAAAAAAATGTGTGTATACTAACTCCTACCTCACATTATAAAAAAAAATGAATTCCACATGAATCGCAGATCTAAATGTGAAAGGTAAAATAATAAAGCTTTGAGAAAATATTGTAGATCATCTTCATGACCTTATAGTAGGTAACAATTTCATAAACAAGATACAAAAGGCACACACCATGGAAGAAAAAATTGAAAAACTGTACTATGTTAAAGAACTTCTGTTCATCAAAAGACATCATTAATAGAGTGAAAAAGCAACCATGGAGTAGAAGATATTTACAATACATATATCCAACAAGAACTTGTATCCAAATTACATAAAGGATTATAAAAATCAATATAAAAAGCACAGATGATCAAATTTTTAAAAAGTGAGCAAAAGATCTTAACCAACACTTCACAAAAGAGAATATCCAAATTCTCAATAAATATACGAGAAGATACTTGCTTCCCTTAGCAAAGAAACATACTTTAAAAACACCGTGAAATATCACTATTCATCCATCAGAATGGCAAAAAATGAAAATATCGCTATTCACCCATTAGAATGGCAAAAAATGAAAATGAAAGTATCAACTATTAGATTGAGAGACTGTGGAGCAACCTTAACTCTCTAAGCCTGTGGTTGGATACAAATTAGTTACCAATTCTGGAAAGCTATCTGGCGGTATCTACTGTACGTAAATATATGACCCACTAATTCCACTTCAAGGTGTATACTCAACAGAAATGCAAGGATATGTTCACTATGTACTAGAACTTTTGTTGTTGTTATTTTTGTCCCAGGTTTATTGAAAATATTGGCTGGGCGAGGTACTCAAGCTTGTAATCCCAGCACTTTGGGAGGCTGAGGTGAGAGAATTGCCTGAGCTCAGGGGTTCAAGACCAGCAAGTTGGTGAGACCTCATCTCTACAATAAATCAAAAAATAAGACAGGTGTGGTAGCGCACACCTGTAGTTCCAGCTATTTGGAAGACTGAGGAGGAAGGATTGCCTGAGCCCAGCAGATCGAGGCTGCAACGGCCTTGAGCAGCATGTCACTGCACTCCAGCTTAGGTGACAGAGTGAGACTTCAACTCAAAAAAAGAAAAGAAAATATTATAGCATCACAGAAAGATTCAAACAGCTCCACGAGGCATTTTGAAGTTCATCCCAACTATAGGTTGAGTGACCTGCAGGTTGGACAGACTGCCAAAGTCCAAAAGCTTCAGCATTTCCTTAGTGTCAGGATCTACTTCAGTGATCTCCTGATCCAAGGCTGAGACCTCTGGAAGGTAATTGCCCCTCCTTTTGCTCTCCTCCTCCTGCAACTTGATGAAGATGCCTCTCTCACTGGGCCCCTCTGGATTCGCTTCATCAGATAATACATGACATAGCTGGCTATCTTGTTGCAGAGTTTCTTGCTGGGAATAATGGCAATCTTCTCATACACATGATTGTGTGGAAGTCGTTGCCCAGGTGCATGTAATGCTTCTCAATGATGACCCAGGCCACCCGCTACACAGTTTTGGTTCGAACATGGCCCATGCTGGTGGGTCCTTGGTAAAAGAGTGTACTAGAACTTTTATTTATTTATTTATTTTTGAGTTGGAGTCTCAATCTGTCACCCAGACTGGAGTGCAGTGGCCGCTCCCGGCCACCGCAGCCTCGACCTGCTGGGCTCTGGCGATTCTTCCGCCTCAGCCTTCCGACTATAATTCAGTAGTCGGAATTACAGGCATGCGCTACCACGCCCGGCTGATTTTTTGATTTATTGTAGAGATGAGGTCTCGCTGCCCAGGCGGGTCTCGAACCCGCAGGCTCAGGCAATCCACTCACCTCAGCCTCCCAAAGGCACGGGATTACAGGCTGAGCCACCGAGCCCTGTTGAACCTTTTTTTTTTTTTTTGAGTTGGAGTGTCACCCTATCGCCCAGACTGGAGTGCAGTGGCCGCTGCCAGCCACCACAGCCTCGCCCTGCTAGGCTCCGGCGATCCTTCTGCCTCAGCCTTCCAAGTAGCTGAAACTACAGGCGCGCGCTACCATGCCCGGCTAGTTTTTGATTTATTGTAGAGACGAGGTTTCACCAAGTTGCCCGGGCTGGTCTCGAACCTGCGGGCTCAGGCAATCCATTCACCTCAGCCTTCCAAAGCACTGGGATTACAGGCTGAGCCACCGAGCCCGGCTCGAGTGTACTAGAACTTTTATAACTGCTCTGTACTTGAGAGAAAAATGAAAAAGTTCTCTACATAACCACGAACCAAGACTGGATACATGAATGTTGGGATATTCAACTAATGGAATATTACATGGTGATGAAAAACGAATGACCTGTTCTATAACTACATACAATATGGGTGAATCTCATAAATATAATTTTGAGTGGAAGGAGCCAGGCAAAAATCACTCCTACTGTACACTTCCATGTATATACAGTTCAAATGAAAGTACAAATCATCTGTGATGTTAGAAGTCAGGATAATGGGGACCACAGAGAAGTAGCCAGTGACTGCACAGGAACATGACAGGGGCCCTGAAAAGCTGGTATCTTCTGTTTCTTGACCAGGGTGCTAGTTTCTGGATGTATTCAGTTTGTTAAAATTCACTGAGCTGGCCGGGCTCAGTGGCTCAGCCTGTAATCCCAGCATTTTGGGAGGTCAAGGCAAGTGGGTTGCCTGAGCCCGTGGGTTCGAGACCAGCCTGGGCAACTTGGTGAGACCTTGTCTCTACAAGAAATCAAAAATTAGCCGGGTGTGGTAGTGTGCACCTGTAGTTCTGGCTACTTGGAAGGCTGAGGCGGAAGGATTACTGGAGCCCAGCAGGTCGATGCTGGGGTGGCCATGAGTATGCCACTGCACTCCAGCCTGGGCGACAGAATGAGAATCCAACTCAAAAAATAAATAAATTAACTGAGCTGCATATTTATGATATGTGTACTTCTGAGTAAATATATTATACTTTGGTAAACTTTTTTTAAGTAAAAATATACATGATCTTATTTTGTAGTCACAACCATATGGTAGAGTTGCTAATTATGTCCACTATACAGACAAATAAATTGAGGCTCAGAAAAATTAATTTGCTCAAGATCACACAGAGAGCATGTGGTAGAGCTGGACTGGAACTAAAGACTGTTGAAACCCAAGGTCATGCTGAAAGATGACTCTGGTCTTTCTTAAGGTTCTATTTGACCCTTCTCAATAACGTTCATAACTCTGTCTTTTCTTTACCTGTATGTTCTACCTGGAGTACCTCTCTACTTTACCAGGAAAACTCCTACAAGTTTTTAAGGACCAGCTTAATTCTCCTCCTCTGTGAAGACTTCCCTGTCACCTCACCTTTTTTTCCCATCTCCTGCCATTTGTTATAGGGATCCTAAACCGAATTGCCTGCAGAGGCTCAGCAGGTACTGCAAATGAAGGAAGCAGCTGGGTGTGTCATAGGGAGAAGTGAGGACAGTGACAATATGTAGAGGGTAAAGCCCCTCAAGAGGGAAGAGTAGCTACTCAGTTTAAACCAATGGCTGCAACTCAGGAATGTAATGTCAAGATGGCAGAAGTATGGATTTGTATGTGAAATCTTTTAAATTTTGTCTTTTAAAAATTAAAAAGCAAAACCAAAAAACACCATATCAGCCAAACACAGCAGGTCTGAGACCCAGATTTAGTTTATGGATCCTAAATTTGCAACCTATGCTTAGAGCTTGGCAAGGGCAGGCAAAGTCCAGCTGATTAAAAACTAACCAACCTCTTCTCTCGAGGTCTGCCAAATTCTCAATAAATATACGAGAAGATACTTGCTTCCCTTTAGCAATCAAAGAAACATACTTTAAAAACACCGTGAAATATCACTATTCATCCATCAGAATGGCAAAAAATGAAAATATCGCTATTCACCCATTAGAATGGCAAAAAATGAAAATGAAAGTATCAACTATTAGATTGAGAGACTGTGGAGCAACCTTAACTCTCTAAGCCTGTGGTTGGATACAAATTAGTTACCAATTCTGGAAAGCTATCTGGCGGTATCTACTGTACGTAAATATATGACCCACTAATTCCACTTCAAGGTGTATACTCAACAGAAATGCAAGGATATGTTCACTATGTACTAGAACTTTTGTTGTTGTTATTTTTGTCCCAGGTTTATTGAAAATATTGGCTGGGCGAGGTACTCAAGCCTGTAATCCCAGCACTTTGGGAGGCTGAGGTGAGAGAATTGCCTGAGCTCAGGGGTTCAAGACCAGCAAGTTGGTGAGACCTCATCTCTACAATAAATCAAAAAATAAGACAGGTGTGGTAGCGCACACCTGTAGTTCCAGCTATTTGGAAGACTGAGGAAGAAGGATTGCCTGAGCCCAGCAGATCGACGCTGCAACGGCCTTGAGCAGCATGTCACTGCACTCCAGCTTAGGTGACAGAGTGAGACTTCAACTCAAAAAAAGAAAAGAAAAGAAAATATTATAGCATCACAGAAAGATTCAAACAGCTCCACGAGGCATTTTGAAGTTCATCCCAACTATAGGTTGAGTGACCTGCAGGTTGGACAGACTGCCAAAGTCCAACCTCTTCTCTCGAGGTCTGCCATCTTCCTGCTAAAGGTGTTCTTTAGATATGGCAGATGAGGGTCACTTACTACAGTTCCAACCTTTCTTTTTTTTGAGTTAGAATCTTGCTCTGTTGCCCAAGCTGAAGTGCAGTGGCACAATCATAGCTCACTGCAGTCTTAGCCTCCTAGGCTCAAGCAATCCTCCCACCTCATCCTCTCAAATATCTAGGATCACAGTCACATGCCACCATGCCCAGCTAATTTCTTTCTTTCTTTTTTCTTTTCTTGTATTTTTTTTTTTTTTTTTAGAAACAGCATCTCACTTTGTTGCCCAGGCTTATCTTGAATTACTGGGCTCAAGCAATGCTCCCACTTCAGCCTCCCAAAGTGCTGGGATTACAGGATTGAGCCACCACACCTGGACCCAAGCTTTCATTCTTACCTCTATTTATGCCCTCCAAAACCTGAGAGAAAAAAATGAAAGAAGCATTGTGGGTCCCTCGAAGCCACATCATCCCTTATTGCCCTATGATATACTCACTCAGAAACTGTTCCTCATTAGGGGGCTGCTTTCTCAAAGAAGCATGAGAGAAAAAAAATAAGACAGCATTTGAAATGGAATGAAACCTGCCACATTGGGGCAGTATAACTACATTCTGCCAGTAATCTTCAACCACCAGGCTTCCACAGCCCCAACTCCAAATCCCTAAAAAGGAGTCCTACGTGATAAATAAAACAGGCAAAGAGGGAGAGGTTTATAGAGGGTGACACATCAATTTGGGACACTGTGTTCTCTGACTTGGAACAGAAATTGAACTTGAAAATAGCTAGATCCATGACGTGAAAAAGGATCAGGACGGAGATTTGAGAACAGAGGAAAACACATTATGAAGGATCTTACTAGTGATGTTCCCTTGGAGATTCCTTGTCTCTCCCTGTTGTACTTTGGAAACAATTCAAGTGGAATTTGCTTTTATTAGCAACAAAAAGCCAATTTCTTTTCTCTATTCCATGGAGGGAGAAACAATAAACAAACCTGAGCCTACAAAAAAGATCATTTCCAAAAGTATGCTGTTAGGCCAGGGGTTGGGAAGTTGGAATGCATTTGTGCACAGAACCAAAGTGATGTCTAAGCATTTGGTTTTTGGGACTGGGGCAAAAGAACCTAGTTAGCCCATAATGCAGCAAATATGTTAATTTTACAATTGAGAAGAAAAGAAAAGAACACTGTCTGAAGAAACAGACAAGAGAGCAAACAAATGGAATAATTCAATTGTGCATTCAATATTTGCTGTGGAAGATGCAGCTGGTATGAGTCTGAAATTCAGGAGAGCAGGAGTGGCCTGTGGAAGCAGGGTTAAGTGGGCGAGAGGAACAAAAGCCCATTACAAGGGGTGGTGAAGGAAGAGGAGGTGAGATAGCAGGGCCAAGTGATTGTTCTTTGCAGGACCTCCATGGGGAAAGGAGAATGCTGTCATGACAGCCGGAGGAGGGTTCAGGACCAGGGTGTTAAAGCTATTGGCATTCCTTGACATGCTTTTAGGCAGCTAGAAAGAAATCGAGACAGGGGAAGAGGCAGAAATACAGGTTAAAGGGGACACTCAATGGATCCATGTCCTTGTGGCAAAGGCTATTAGTTGTTCTCTGCCTCCCTTCCTTAGTAAGAAAACCCTGATTTTATCTTATTTTTTAAGGTATGTGCTTTTTTTGGTTATTATTTTAGAGTTATGGATACTTGTGAGGATTTGCTACATAAGTAAATTGCATACAGGTGAGGTTTGGGTTTCTAGCCAGCCCTCTCTCCCCCTGATAGTGGACATGGTACCCAGGGGGTGGTTGGGTGCCCCTTGTCCCCACACCTTTTTCCTTCCCTCCTTTAGTAGTGCCCAGCGTTTGCTGGTCCCGCCTCTGTGCTCACATGCGCAATGTTTGAGGCGCACTTATGAGTGAGAACATGCGGCATTAAGTTGTTTGTTTCTGTGATAGTTCACTTAGAGTGG